ATAATAGGCACTCAGTACATATTTGATGAGTGAATGGATGGACACAATAGTTAAAAATACAAGTCCCATTATGTGTAGCTAAATACCAGATAATATTTTTAATGTAGTGGGTTAGTGATAAACACTAACCTTGTAAATAAATATAATTAATAAATATTATAAGACAGTGGTCTGGGGCCTTTTTTCAAACCCAGAATTCTTGAGAGATATCCCTGATGGTTCTTCTCAACGAATTTGTGTCATTATGATCTGTGGATGGATTGAGGACTAAACTGCAAAAGCATCCCACTTGACTCTAATGTCTAACCCCCCACTTCAACCCTCAGTTACCACCAGAGTTCCCTCCATTGCCTTTAGAAGACAGAGTAACACTAAGAAGTGAACTAGTCAGAGAAGGCTTTATAGCAGAAGTAGAAAAGCTAGAAAAGGAAAAAGGCGGAAGCTCTTTGACAGTATGTATGGTATGTTTGGTAACAGTGGTCATTCAAGTTTGAAATGGAGAATGAGTATCAGGAAGTAGTGAGAGCAAGAGTGGAGATATAAGGTAAGAGATGTGGTAAGATATTAACCCCAGTAGAATAGATTTTGACAGTGGGAGAGGTTCACATAGTTTTGACAAAGTGGAATGTTAGAGAAGAGTAGTCAATGCCTAAAGTAGTGTTTTAGGAAAGTATCAGAAGTTTGAAAAATGGTTCTCTTTTGCATTCTTCATGAACAGTTCATGGTATGTAGAGAATACTCAAAAAATAATAGAGTGAGTGGATGGAGTGATGGGTGGGTGGATGGGTGGATGGATGAGTGCCTGGAATACATGAAGAAAAAAATGGAAGGAAGTAAAGTAAGCCAGTAATGTGAATATAATGTTGTAAATACTCTCCTATTGATGGAAACAGTGGGAATGAAAAGAAATATTACAAGGGAGGTAGAACATAGTTAAAAATAGAACTTATTAAAGTTAATGCCAGGATTTAGAGCTTTGTTGATTCAGAAACTGATAGTTCCTCTTACAGAAATAGGGACCTGACTTGTATGTTTAAGGAGGTAAGAGATGAAGCACAGGAAATATCATGGTCACCAAAACGGTATTTAAACCTTTACTCTGTGGATCATCAAAATATTTCCATTAGGACGACATGAGCAATGGTGGCCATGAGATCTTTGGAAGTTTGTTCATAGGAGAAATAGCACCACACTGGAGCGAGGAAATTTCTCCTGAAGCTTTAAGGAGACATTCAGATACAAAATGAGAAGTGTGTACAATTGTATAATTTGCTCTTTGCTATCACCAAGAAGTGATACGATCTAAAACTAAAACCAGATTCTCAGCAGTTTTTCTTACTAATGGGTTAAAAACAAAAACATGGCAGGCTGTTATATGAAATTTGGGGTTCGGCTTCAACAATTTTAAGTGTTAAACCAGGAAGACCATCTACCATATATATCGTATAATCACTTTTTGAGCTAATGGCAAAATCCTCTTGTCTATTTTTTTAGTCTTGTAACTGAAGGAAAATTGTATGGTGAAAAGTCATCGTTTGGCCTCCTTCAAAACTAAAATTGACTACATACCAATTCTAATCAAATTAAATTATAGTGAAGTGAAATCATTTTTAGTTGTTTAACATAAGGAAATCATATTTTCAGCATCAAGTGAAGATTCATAATGCCACTATATTGATTTTATCTTAATTATAGACATATTTTAAAACTTCAATTAAAAGGAATGGGGGAAATACGAAATATGGGCAGAGTGAATAAAACTATTTAGGTGGCTTTGGAATATTTTAAATTGCTAGAGTACTAAGCTCAAATAATATTTAGTTCCAGCTAGAGTTAAGTACCATTAGGTAATTAGGCATCCACAAGGATGGAAAAGCCCGGGCCCATTTCATGTAATCAGCTAAATCACTTCTAATTTGATTTCTCGTTCTTTATTTTCCTTCCTTTAATTAATTCGTATTGATAAATAAGAAATAGCAGGGGAGAAAAAAAGAACAGGTTGTTAAAAAGTAGAAGTGAGGTTGTTGTAAGAACAGCCTGCTCACAGAAATTGATCAATGAAGGGAAGATGATTTCTTTTAAAAATGAGCTTTGTAATATTTAGTTTGGGATTTCATCTCAAGTTCAATGAGATCTTTCCCCAAGACCAGAATGCACCTTTTCTTCTTTTAATCCTCTCCAGCATTGTTAGTTTGCTTTGCTCCTAATAGATGTGGAGAGACAAGCCCTCTTGCGCGAAATTCCTTAATTTGGAATGTACAACCTATGTCGGTCTAACAGAATTAGTTAAGACTGTTGACTAGATTTTCTGGATTTTTGTAGAGATAAGGGATAATGAACAAGGAGTTTATTTTTAAGGATTAGGTTAAATAATTAATGAAGATGGGTAATTATCATTATTGCCCACTAGAGCAAGAATATGAGATTAGACTTGTTTGGGGAGTGTGCGTGTGTAAATTTATCTACCTAAAAGTATGTATCCACAGGATACGTAAATGTATACACAATGTATAATGCATACAAATATGGATTCTAAATTGAAAATAAACGGAAAAAAATGATTAGGCTTTCTTAACATAGCATAGGTCAGCTATGATTCATTTTTCTCTCCAAGGGCTATGCTTATGTACTTCCTGTATTTTAAAACTGACGAGTGACTGCTCCATGGACCCCTCAGAGAGCATGTATCCTGTCAATAGCATTCCTAGGACCTTAGAGACCCAAACTGGCAGAAGTATAGAGAATGATGGACTACATGTAATTTCAAATAACATAGATTTCTGTCTTAGTTGCCTGCCCAAATCTAGATTTCTGACATTACTACACTTTCTGTCCTATTTCTAAAGGAAAAGAGATAAATACCAAACTACCAAGTTCCTAGCAATATTTTAGTGGAAAATGGGAATTTAAATATTAGGAAGAAAAGAAAACTTTTATAAAGCTTTCTTTTATTCTATGAAGGTTTTCTGTTTGTAGGTATAACAGAGCTTATATTAAGTTAGAATTTTATACTAAATCTAAACTGATATAAAATTTAATTTTTCATTATGATAGATGCAAATTCATTTTTTCTCTCTCTGTCTCTCTCTTGGTATTCTGCCTGTCTCTCTACTCTCTCTGTGTCTTTCCCTCCTCTTTCTTTTTTTTTTTTTCTTTTTTTTGAGAAAGGAGAGAGTGCGAGCAAGGAAGAGGCAGAGAGGGAGAATGCCAAGCAGGCTCCATGCTGTCAGCTCAGAGCCTGACACGGGGCTCGATCTCACAAACCGTGAGATCATATGAGCTGAAATCAAGAGTCCGACGCTTAACCAACTCAGCCACCCAGGCACCTCTACTCCTCTTTCTTTTTATGGAAGTTCATTAAAGAAAATATTCTATTCCTGCTGGAGAGTCATTCAGTGACTGTCATCCCTATATGGAAGGAGCATATTTGCCCTAGAGATTCAAGATTCAAACAGCTCTACAGACAGCTTATTTATATTCAATTTATATAACCTACCGTAATGCATTTTTCATAATTTGGGGGAATTTTAAATTCATTAAAAACATATAAAATATATTAATAATGTCAACTTTCTCAGGTGTATGTTACCTAAAAAAAAAAAAAAGTTTTCCTGAAGAATATCCTACAAAGAAAAAA